TAGATGACGAGGATGTGGCATGGAACCCGGACATGCTGCTTGTGCAGCTGACATCTGACATGTTGGATGCCGCCGAAGTCGGCGAAAGTGGATTGCCCGCTCCTGATCCTGCGGCACTGGAGGCGGTGGGTAAGGCACGAAGGCGGCGCAACGAGCTGCTGGAGAATGCGGACGAGATGCAGGCGACAACGCGGGACCGTCGACGCCGACCGGGCGGTGAGGGAGAAGAACAGGCAGCGTCAGAAAACCCTGAATCCCACCAGAAGCCTGAGGAGTCGAGTAGTCGCAAATCCTCCGAAACAAAAAAGAAGAGTCGTGAGCGGTCACCGGGAAAAGGGGGCCAACCCAGGGCAAGGGCTGCACAGCCACCGGAAAGTCCAACAGCTTCTCCGGCAAATCCCGCATCACGGAAAAAGTGATGTACCCCACCGGAGAAGCCAGAAGTAGGGCAGTTAAGGCCAATGCGAAGGAACATGCCACTCGGTCAAATTGAGAAGCACCGGAGCAGGAGTGAATTGCTGGCCGCCACGACGGCGAAGAAGTGGTGGCAACTGAAGCACATATTTACATATATATATGACGTATGCACGCGTTGAATTTATGTCTGTCTCGCTTCCTCACTCTTTTTTTCTCTCTGTTTATTTGTGTATGTTTGCGTGGAAATGCGGTGACGCACGGGTGATGTAGTGGGAGTTATGTGGAAAACAACAATAACAAGGTGATTTTGCAAAAGAAAAAAACGAATGGAAGTGCATATGCTCACTAGCTGCATTTGTTTAGTCACGTTGTATTCTGCAAATCCAAACACCTCTCTTATTATTATTTTTTATTGTTCTAATGTTGTTTTGGATTTTCTTTTTATGTAAGTAAGGGATTTTTTTTTTTTTTTTTTAGCCACCACCGGAGAGGGGTGACACACACAGACACACTTCCCTCCCGTGAAGAAGGGGAGATAATAGAAACAAAGGAGAAAAAGGAGGAGGAAGCAACAAAAGAACAACAACAGCAACAAAGCAAACAAATATAAAAGTTATTTTATTGGCTAACTGAAATGAAGCGTGTGCTAGTGCTGAATGTCGACTCTTTTGTTGGCAGGGAGGTGTGCCGTCGTTTTTTTGACGCCAAAGAGTACCTGGTTGATGGCACGCTGTACCATTCCCAATCCACTCGAGGGAATCCGGAGGCGAAGGAGTCTCTCAGAACCGATGGATTGGACTCTGCAGGCACGATGAAGCCTCATTGTGCAACCGCCTCTACGAGTTCGGTGCGGCTAGACGTTCCAGCAGACATGCGGCCATTTCTCAACTCGGTGATGCCGCGACATGGCGATATTAGTGATGAGCAGTTTCGCGCCCGGGTGCTGACGTACGACATTATTATCGCCATTCTTGAAGAGGACGCGTTCGAGGCGGACTGCACTATCAAAGTGCTTCGTGGGACACACTACGAGGTGGAAAAGACTTTTGTGCTTGTCTCCAATGTATTTACGTGGACACAGACCGATGCACACGAGCGTGAGTTACGACGTGCCGCTCGCCGTGCAGAACGGGAGGCGGCTCGCGCCCAACGTTACGAGGATGATGTAATTGAGGAGGAAGAGGAGGAAGAAGAAGAGGAGGAAGAGGAAGAAATGGAACAAAAGGTATGGACGGAGGAGGATTACCGTCAACGCTACTCCGATCTCCGTTACCATCTCTGGAAGGACCTTGAGCATGCGGTGAAGCATGCAAACTCGGAGACATTACACACATATGTGCTGTGGGCCGGATTGCCGTACGGTCGTGGCGAAGACCTTCTTGCGCCCCATTTTAACGCAGCGTGGAGACATCAGGAGATGCTTCAGTATGGGGATGGATCAAACTACATCCCCACCATACATGTAAAAGATCTTGCACGGATCATCTACCTTGTCGGCTCCTCGTACGATACACTTGAAGATCGTTACATGTTTGCCGTGGATCAGGGCAACAACACACAGAGCGATATTTTGCAGGGCATAAAGGACTTTATTGGTGGCGTGGTGTCGGTTACGGCGCCGGAAATTGACCGTAAGAATCAGGTTGTGATACCAGGTAACCAAAAAAAAGACATAAGAGAGGCGGATTTGAAAGAAAATGAATCAGCAGAAGAGATCCAGCATGAGCATGACGTTCTGGTGGAGCTGGGGATGCGGGAGGCACGAGTTTTGGATGAAGCAAAAGAGGAACTGTCAAGAATTAGGGAAATTTCGCAGCGAGAGAAACTGCTGCGGTTGGGTTTGGGGGTACAAGAAAGTGGAAACGATGATGACACAAACCATGCGCTAATGCCGGAAGCGGCCTCTAAAGTAGGGGCGAGTCTCACGATCGCTCCACCGCATGGCCTGGCAAACTGGTTCAGTGCGGTTGACATGCGCTGTGAGCCCGGTGCCGTACTTGCGCTTCTCGAGGAGGAGGAATGGGTTTCACTTGGGGGGTTCTTTGCGAATGTTGACAAAATTGTGCAGGAGTTCAAGGCCGCACGGCAGTTGCGTCCGATGCGTCTTGTTCTCTCTGGCCCACCTTTGAGCAAAGTAGGGGAAGTCGCCGGCGTACTTGCGGAGCTATTTGATATCCCCCACCTGACGTTGGCAAATGTGACGGCGGCTTACGAGGAGCATGTGAGATCTCTGCGAGAGGAGTTAATTGGTATTCTTGTTTCGCGACAGCTGCGGAGACATACGGCACGCGAAGAACGCCGACGCCGCGAGAAAGAACGGGCCAAAGAGGCGCGAAGAAAAGCCAGGGAGGAGGAAGGAGAGGAAGGAGAGGAGGAGGAAGAGGAAGAGGAAGAGGGAGAAGAAGAGGGAGAAGAAGAGGGAGAAGAAGGGGCAGAAGAAGAGGAAGAAAAGGGAGAAGAAGGATCACCCGCCGCGCAGGATTTGGACCCTGCAGAGCGTATACGCGCCGCCATCACCGAGGCGATGTTGCTGCATTTACCGGAGGATGAAGAGGAGGAAGAGGAGGACGATTCCCACTACAACGCCGATGATGATGAGGAGGTGGATGAGAAGGCAGCCGCCATGGCGCAGCAGGTGGACGAGGCTGAACGACGTCGAATTGCGACACTTCGAGAGGAGTATCGCTTCGCCACACAACTGTTATCACTGCGTCTTTTGAATGGGGAGTTCCCGCGGCGACCCAAAAGCGCTGATGAAGAGGAAGAGGGCGAGGAGGAAGAGGAATACGACGAATATGATGATGAGGAGGAATACATGAATAGGAAGAAGAGACGGGAGCAAAAGAAGGATGTCAAAAAAGATGTTACAGAGGAACCCCCGCCGACGATTCGTTACTTTGATGAGGTGATGGCTGTGATGGTTCGCTGGCGGCTGCGGCAGGAGGACTGCAAGAATCAGGGATACATCCTGGAGGCATTTCCAGAGACGGTGCGTCAGGCCTGGTTGACGTTTCTAGCCGACACTGAGGAACAAAAGGAGATGCAGCGGCCGAAGTTGCAGAAGGTCCGTGACGAGGAGGCCGTACCACAGCCGCTGCTTGATGCAAATTTCCCATTGCCTGTTCTTGCAGATCTTGAGGAGGATCGGAAACAAGAGATAATGGAATTGATGACGGGGCGGAGATTTGCGTCCGCTGAGGAAGTTCTTGTTCCCACACATGATACCTTTTTCCCAGATTGCTTTATTGCTCTGACAGGCAATGAGGTTACCCTTCGGTCACAAATATATGCTGCAATAGCCACTGCGACTCCTGGTGATACGACGCCGGATTTTTCCGAGCAGTTTACGCGTTACATGACACATAACCGTCCTGGTGCCCCACCGACGGAATCGCTTATTTGCTGGTTTCAAACCGTGGTGGCAGAGAGGGTGGATGAAGATGGAGATGTTGCTGTGGCTACGGAAGGAGGTGAATTGAGAGAAAAGGTGCCCCGAAAGGCATGCGTTCTATTCGTACCGGTATTTTCTACCTTTCCCTCAGCCGTGTTGCCAAAGTTTTTCAACCATGAGGAGATCTCTGGCATGAAAGCCTACTGCACCTTTATCCGGTCTGAGATTCTTAAAAACATTGGTCTTGACAGCTGTGGCTCTGTGATAGATTCCATGCGGGCAGAGGCGGAGACGAACAAACGTCGGGTACAGGAGCTCGCGTCGGAGAAGGAAAAATTAGAAAAATTGAGTACCTCGGATAAATTATTTGCCGCGGCCGCACAAAAATTGGAGGACGACTTTTTGGAGAATGAGCGACGTGCGTTGCGATTTTACCAGGCAAAGGAGGAGTTGGCGTCCATTGTTGGCATTGACTCTATTCCGGTGGATGTGTACTTGATGCGGTATGTGATGCCTAGTCTGACGCCGCTGATGGCGGAGGTTGTGCGGATGCGCCCTGAGGACCCTGTGACTGTGTTGGCGGATGCCCTTTTCCACCACAAGCGGCAAGTGAGTCTCTGAGATGGACATTTCTGTTATTTATTTTATTTATTTTATTTATTATTTTTGACTCTGTGGGAATAATTTTTGTCTGGGCGACAACGACTTGTTTCAACGGAGGCAAATGATGTAATTACATCCCGGGCGAGGGTGCACGATGTACAGGAATGAAGGAAAAAAAAAAAAAAAGAAAAAAGAAAAGGAATTGTGAAAATGGGAGAGTGCGAGAGTGAAGAGCGCGCACACACACACATAAACAAACAAACAAACAAAAACTTTTTGCCCAGCTATATTTTTTTCTTTGTTGTTGTATTCTCTTCCATATTCCTTTTTTTTATTATTTTTATTATTATTATTGATTGCGTGCTTTATGGAGGAGGAGATAGGGAGGAAGAAGGGAGGGAAAACGGGAAGGGAGAGGCCGCGGAGTGTCAGCGCTAGCATCAGCAGCATTGGACCGTTAGGGAAAGAGGAAGTGTAAGAGGAAGAGGGACGAACAAACAGGAGACAAATGGCGGAACACTTTCGGAATCGCATCAAGGAGTTAAGGTCGCGGAAGGTGGCGACAGAAGATGCGGCCACCGGCACAAAAACGACAGTGGCGTCCGCGGCGACGGCGGTGGCGTCGGTGACATCTCCTCCGCTTCTGTCATCGGCGGTATCGAGCAAAACAGTTGCTTCGGTCCCGGTGGCAAATTTACCGCCACCGTTTTTGTCGCCACATGGGGCGGTGGTGAACTACAGGGACAGCGTGAGGGACCCACTGTGCGCGCGCTTCACGACGGGGCACGCGTTAAGTCTTTTTGAGGTCACTTTGCAGGCACTTGGGGACAAGGCACGACGGAAACGGGCTCGTTCTCCTGACAATGAGGAGCCTGCAGAAGAGCCTCAACAACACCGTGGCTTCCAGAAGCACCAACCGCAGCAGCAGCACGCATCAAGGGAGGGAGAGGGAGGCGGTGAAGAGCAGGCATCACCGCGCCAAATTGACCCGGAGCAACCTATGGTGAGAGAGGGTTGTGACAATGAGAAGAAGGTAGTAACTAATCCCCCTTTTGATACTTCTTTTTCCAATGTGGTTTCTTACTTCTTGCCTGAGATAGATGCAAGGTGTTTCAGTAACAATGAGGAGTTGGAGGAAACAAATGGGCTTGTCAATGGACAAGCACAATTGGAGCACTCAAAGGCGAGTATTGGAGCTGGCATTGGCGTCGGCTCACGTGATGACAAAAAAAGGTGTATTTTGGTCACGGGAAAGCAGTGCCCACCCTGCCGCTCGGTAAACGAATACATCCCAAAGGCCCGTATTGCACAAGGAGTGTATGGTGTGGTAATCAGCGCCATTAGGGCTACATCTGAGGTTCCTCACCACGACCAGGAGGTGAAACGGATGGTAAAGAAGTACGCTCTCAAGCAGGTGAAGGAACAGTGGCTTGTCGACTCACAGGTCGGATTTCCACCGTATCTCCTGAGAGAGTTTGATCTTCTTCTTCGCATGCGCCATCCAAACATTGTGAGGGCCCGGGAGGTGGTGATTCTCGATAAGCGGCTTGGTGGGACAAAACACTTGCGTGGGGATGCGGGTGGTGATGGTGTGGGGGCGGAAAACAACATCAAGAGATCCCATCCGGATGTCGCCGGAGAGTTTCTGCAAGGTGTGAAGGGGGTGGCGCCGAACGGTAACGTTGCCACCCAAAATCAAGAGAAGTCAGGCGCGGATGGGGTGTTAAGGGGAGAGCGAAGTAGAAGTCATGTAAAGGATGTGTATTTGGTTATGGACTATTGTCCTTATGATCTCAAGTCTTTTCTTTCTCTTCACAATGAAAAGGGGGTTTATATGCATTTAAGCTCCTACAATACACATCCTGATGCGCCAAACAATTTTTTATCTCGAGTGAAATGTATTATGCAACAACTGTTTCGAGCATTAAACTTTCTCCATGATCATCGTATTTTGCACAGAGACATCAAAACCTCTAATATTCTCATTAGCCATGAAGGGGTTGTGAAGCTTTGTGACTTTGGGTTGGGACGCCTTTATCGTGAGGGGGAGGAGCTCACTGCGAACGTCGTCACGCTCATGTATCGTGCACCGGAGTTACACTTTGGTGTTCGGGACTACTCCCACAAGATGGATGTATGGTCACTGGGGTGCATCATGGCAGAGTTGTTCCTCAAGATGCCGCTGTTTCGAGCCGAGGAGGAGGTGAAGCATTTTGCCGCCATCTGCGACATCATCGGCATACCGACGGAGGAGACATTCAGCGGGCTGTACAAGATGCCAGAGCTCCTGCGCATCATGCGGTCCCTCACCAAGTATAACCGTGAGAACAATCTTTCTCGCGTATTTGCGAAGTCGCACCACGCCGGTGCGTCGACTCTGCCTGCGAGTGGACTGGACTTGCTGCAGTGCATCTTTCGCTGGAATCCTCTGGACCGTCTCTCGGCCCGTGATGCCCTCAACCACGTGTTCTTCCACGAGGCACCGCTGCCATGTGAACCAGCGGAGCTTTTGCGCCCGATACCAACCTCAAACGTGCAAAGCAGGCGGTATGACGGTAAGGCAACGGCGAAAAGAAACGAAACTGACGGTGTGGGGGGCACACCTCCGCCGAAGCCGCGGCCTGTACGAACGGACGCAGTGCTTCGGGCTGAGGAAAAACTCACAACATCACCGAGAATGGGGGGCATGAAAGCTGTCGAGCCGGAACGGACCTGCACCACGACGGGCACGGGTGAAATGAAGATGACGGTGACAGATGCGATTTCGTCCCCGTCGGAGGATGACGCTGAGCATGTGCTTCTGCGGGAGCTAGAGTCCCTCAACGATATCCCAAGCCCTGGGGACGAGGATGAGGCCCAACGCGTGGCGAACCAAGCACGTCTGAGGGCAAATCAGGACCGGGATTGTACGTCATCACCGGGGTTTTGATGCATCCGTGCATTGTGGAGAGTATTTGAGAATGAGGGAGGAAAAGACAAAAACAACAAGAAAAAAAAAAAAAAAAAATGAAAGAAAGAAAGAAAGAAAAGAGAAGAAGAGAGAGAAAGGAAATCAAAAAAAACGAATGCAACTGCCACCACCAAGGGGGGAAAAAAAAGGACATCGCTACGACTTTAGTAACGTGTTCTTAATGTTGCTTTTTTTTTTTTTTAGTTGCATTTACTTCTGTTGTATCTTTTTCTCTCTTTCTTTCTCACTTTTTTTATTGTGTCTGTGTATTATTGTCCGCCATTCTTTTTATTCGACTCCCTTTTGCAATCTTTTTCTCTTTTTCCCTCTCCTTTTGTGTGTTTCCGTGCGGTGGGGGAGAGGTCCGGCATTGTTCTCTTCCCCTGCACCGTAAAAAGAAGAAGGAGAAAAACAACAACAACAACAAAATAGAAACACACACATAAGTGCCGGGCGGTGAAGGGGCGAAAGAGACGTTGCGTTCTGTCGCCATCACCGTTCTGCGTCTTGGGCCACCGCGGCAGGCGGAGGCATTGAAGGAGGAAACAAAAAAGCAAACACAAAAAACATGATATTTGGCTCAGAGCCTCCGCTGTATTTGAAGCCTGTTGGCCGGCGCGGGCTGCGGCGGCACGAGGCGGACGTCCTGCAGCACTACCCAGGCTACAGCCACCCGGTTGTGCAGCTCCGTGGGAGTGAGGGATACATCGGCGATAGCCACCGCCTGCACCCGCGCCTCACAGCAGCAGAGGAATTGCGTCACGAGCGAGAATTGGGGGCTGAGCGTCGGCAACGCGTTGTTGAGGTGCGCCGAAGACGCCATTGCGAGCGCGAAGCCAATTTGGCGCAGCGGAGAGAGGACGAGTTTCAGAGGGAGCAGCGTCATAAGGCGCAGTTAGCCGGCTTGTGCATTCGAAATGAACCCGGTGACGGACGTGATACAATTACGCAACAGTATAGGACAGAGGATGCACGCCGCCACTACGAGTACAAGCATGAATTAGAAAAGCATCGTTACTTTGCACGGCAACAACGCCTACGCGAAAAGACTCATCCTCATGGTTACAACATTTTAACAGGTGAAGCGTTGCCCTCGACGGTGGTGCCACCTAAGCCATCAATACCATCTGATACTCAATTATTCGCTGTGCAAAATGGGGATTAAGAGGGATGTATACGGAAATATATAACTGTACTGACAGGGAAAGGATGCCACCCTTTGTGGTGTGGTGTGGTGTGAGTGTCTGTGAGTGTGAGATGGGCCTTCTACGTCTTTTTTCTTTTTCCTTTTTAGTGTACTATTTCGCGATGTAAACCAAAATAATAATAATAAATAATAATAATAAAACCTTTTAAAAGGTTTTCTATTGAAATGATGATGATGATGAGTTTGTTCTTGTAGTGTGCCGTCGTTGAGGGGAATCATCCCCGTTGGATTCTCCATTTAGCCTTGAATACTTCTCTCATTTATTTGTATTCCGTCTTGTTTTGGTGTTTTTGCGTGTGTTTGTATGTATGTGCACGGCGATCTGCAATAATTTCTGTCTCTGTACAACTCTACTTGTTTTTCTCTATCCACATTCTCCCTCCCCGCTTTCTGCTACCCTTTTTTTTTTTTTTTTCCCCTTTTAGTGTTGCAAGCACTCCCAAAGTGTTCAGTCATTTGAGGGTTGTTTTGCTGCAGGTGTGTACAAACTTCCGTGAGGACTGTGGCTGAGTAGCAACTGCCCCACCCGTCGTTAGTTTTGGTGGTTTTTTTGTATTGTGCCCCCCGCGTTGTCATTCCGGTATGCCGGGTGGTGGTGGCGGCGAACGGAGGCAGGAGGAAGAGCAGGGGGGCAACCTGTCTCCGCAAGAATCCACGAAGACCGCTGCCGAGAAGGACGTTGTCGCCCCACGGAGTGTCCCGGAGGCTGAGGTCGCACGGCTGCTGCAGGAGTATGATGGGACGCCCCTGACGGGGCCGGATGTGCGCCAAATGAGTGAATGGTCGCAGTCGCGCAGCACAAGCGTCCCCGCAAAATTCTCTACTCTCACGGCAAATTCAGTAGGAGCAGGTCACTTGGACAGTGAGGCTCGCTTGCGCATGAAGTGGGGCACCATTCAGAAGGACTGCCCGTTTTGTCTACGGAGCCCGACCCTACAGCTGGGGAGTCCCAGTGTGAAAAATAGAACAGAACCTTCCACGAACTCCTTTACACGTTTGGGCACCCCAACGTCATTGAGGGCCAGCGCGGCAGCTTTCTTATTTACGCTGAATGCACAGGAGAGTCTGCGAAAGTCACCGCCTCTGGAAGTGGTTGCCTTCTCACTAACAGCTGAGGAAGAAGGGGGAATGGCCGTACTCTCTAGCGCGATTGCCGTAGAGGGCAGGAGTAAAAGCTTGACAGAGGCTCAAGGGGAGCCTATGCGAATTAATTCTGTAGCAACACAGGCGGCAGAGCCGATCGATTTAAATGCATCAGGCGCTTCTTTTGGTGCATCACGATATGCGCATGCTGTAAATGATTTTGGGGGGCGATATACTCCCTTGCGTGAGAGTGTTGGCACCTCTGTAACAGGGAGCTCTGGGCAACGGATGAGCAAGAATCATTCTACTAAGGGAGATGATATCGTGTCGAATAATCCAAACAGTGATCGGTCATTTGCTTTACTGAGTAATAGAAACAATGAAGATGTGGACTCCGCGAAAAATGAGGTCCGTTATGAATTAATGAGACTTCGGGAACACCCTGACAATGAGGGCAGTCATGAGGATAATAGGATTGATACTGAAGATGAAAGTGGCCTTTGCTGCAGATGTTGCGGGGTCTTTTCGTGTTTTTCAGGAGGCATGGATTTGAGGACGACATCGTTGTTAGCGTATCGAAATGTTGGCCAGCGGGAGGAGGAGGAAGAGGAGGAGGAGGAGTATACAGGGCGACACTCTGGCCGTCAATGTAAGCTTTGTGGGGCAGTGATTCGTTCATTTAACTTTATGAATGTCTTCATGGGGAATCTTCCTGTGGCCTCGCAGCTTTTTTGCATTATGAATTATATCGCCAGCACACTTGTGGTACTCGCATTATCTCTTATTTTGATATGCCTGTGGGATAAACCCGTCACTCGCGTAAGTGATGACTCGGCATGCCGTGGGATTATTGTGCCCGGCATTTTCACACCAGAAATCTCCTTTAGCATTGCCTTTTTTCTTTTCAATGCATTACTGGCAGTCTGTTTTTCTATCCGGGCCGTACGATATGAGAACTCTGGTTTGTTGGTATGTCACTTTATCACTGTGCTGCTTCATTTTTGTCGTACCATTCATTTTGTGTTTTTTACGAGCATCGACAGGCTTTCGGGGCAGGTGTTTCTATACATTCAATTCCTATTTGGTGTGAGTGCCTTCTTATTTTTGGCCTCCTGTGGCACGTACCCATGGGTGCATATGTCGTTTGGATGGCGAACGTTTATGAAGGGTATCACTCGGTCCGTTTTACTGAGACGTCACAGGCGAAAAATGTTTATAGAATCCTTTGTTCAACTTGATATCTTTAGCACGATTAGCAGCGCTTTTACTGTGGTCTACATGTTAGACAGCGATCTGGAGCAAATGATAGGATTGACAGTTGCGGTACTCTCTTGTGCGACGGCCATGCTTTACCTGGTGATGCTTCGACGTCGTTCAATGTGGTTTCTTTCCTTCTTTTCAGTAATATTTGCAGTGTCATTTGTGTTTTATTGTTACGTTATTAGCAGCGCGGTGGAACCTTACTTGTTGCGGGGCGCAGGAGCCCACTTTGAGGTGAGTCAGTGTTACAGTCCAAAACTCTTTTACTGCCTGGAAGATCTTGATGCTGAAATCATATCCAAGAGGAATCTGACGAAATACGTGGAGAATAAAAGTAATGGCAGTAGCGACGGTTGCTCTTCCTTCGTTGTATATCGCAGCGAATACTTCAAAGCTCATCCCCGCGAGAATAAGAACTGTCAGTTAACATGGCAAGACTACTTTAGCGATGGTTTTACACACTGCTGTGAGGTGTATGGCCATTGTCGCCTGAAGGATGCTGTGCGAAGTTACACTGTGGTGCATCTTTCGGTGCTGGCCATTATTTTGTGGACGGTGCGCGTTATTCTCGTTTGGCTGTGGGTCCGCTCCATGAAGGAGGACGAGGAGGATGCCACGAGGATGTGGCAACATCCCAATTCGGATACATTTGTACCTCCTGCGCTGACATTCCCTTCTTTCGCCGTCAATGGACCCGTGTCCACCTGACACCCCACCAATACCGTCGGATGTGTCGGGTGTACGGCTGTGAATATTGCGATGATGGAACGATGATGCTACGGGGGGAGATATCTCATCTTTTTTTTTTTTTTTTGCTTGTGTTCTCTCTCTCTCTGTGTGTGTGTGTGTGTGGGATGCTTTTTTGCCTTGAGCCCAATAGGGGCTGCAGGTTAAGGGAGCAAAAAGAAAAGTAGGACGGCTTCACACTCAAAAAAAAAAAAAAGAAAAAAAAAAAAAAGAAAACAACTTTTTTTTTTTGTTTGTTTCCCTTTTGAATGGTACGTGTATATATATATATATATATATGTGTGTGTACATGTGTGTGTGTGTGTGAAGAACGATTTCACCCCTCTTTTTATTTACCGCATTGCCGTGGCACCCCCATTGATTGGTGTCCAGATGCTGGCATGTGTGTATATATATATATATATGTATACAGCATGTACCGTAAAGAAAATGGGGCCGTTCTTCTTTTTTTTTTTTTTCGTTGCTGTGCGATGGTTTGCTGTGGGCAAAAACACGCAACGTAGACACACGCTTTCTCTTTCTATTTCTCTCTCTTTTTTTTTTTTTTTTTAGGCGTCTCGATGCGGCGAGACGAGAAGAAAATAAGGTGAAAATAAATCAACAAAGAATGCAGGAAACAGAAAAACAAACAAACAAAAGACAAACGGTGCGTGCTTTCTATTTTATTGTGTTTCTCTTGTGAGTCTTTTTTTTTATTATTATTTCGGGGTTATGTTGGATTGGCTTGCGTTCAGGGAAACAAACGAGGAAAGAAAGATAATCCACGCACCGACTGTCTCCTTTTTATTATTATTGTTATTATTCCCTTTTTTTTGTTTTGTTTTCCTTCCTTTTGCGTGTGTTATTTCTTTCTTTTTTTTTTTTCTTAAGTGCGTGCGCGCCAATTGGGAATATGTCATTTCACACGTGTTGTTGTATTTTTTTTTTTTTCCCCCTTTTTGTGATTGCTGCCGTTATGTCCTGCAAACCGTCTGCATCCCTTTTTTTTTTTTTTTTTGTCTGCACGCCGGAGTAAGCATTCCACCAGAGAGGGAAGAACGGAGTGGTGGTGCTTGTGGTGGTGAATGAATGCTGCAACGAGGAGGGTTTCTGTTGGGGCGCGTTCTTGACGATACGAACGTTGGGAGTGTCTTGCGAACAATGAAACACGTGGAGCGCAGGCGTGTTGCCAGGGCGCAGGCCAAAAAGGCTGCAGAGGGCACAAACCCCTACAATAAGGCTCAATACATCAATGCCTTTGTTGAGGCACAGAGCGCCAGAATGACACACGAGCAAATCTTAAAAGAAGGCGCTGCCGAAGAGCAGTCCTTAATGGCCGTTGTGAATGCCGCCCGCCCATCCGTCGTCGTGGGATCACATAACGATGTGCTGCCGGGCGGGGCGGCGGCTGATGGGGTTGCATTTGGCTCATGGCGTGAGGGAAATCCTGCGTTGGAGCGTGTTTGCATGTCGATGGACCGCAACCTCCATTGTATTCTGCGGGGGGCGATGACACCACCCGCGTTTTCGCCCGAGGCCCTCCAACGCAACGCGCCCACACGTCTCGAGAGCGTCCAACGGCTGCTGCGGCTTCTCCACGCAGAGGAGCATGAGCGGTGGTCGAAGGTGCGACTAAATGCCTTTTCGAATCGCATGGAATCTTGCTTAAAATCTGTGTGCGGGGAGGATTTTGGCATGAGGCAGCGACTGATGGCAATGCTTCTTCAGTCCGCCGCCATGCAGAGTTGGGAACTGGCGTTTCAACTATACCACGACCTCTTCCTGCCGTGTTTACAGGGGCAACGACGACGAGTAGGAGAAGATGGTCGTATGACGGGGATTGAAGCTGCCACCTCGGCTCTGGTTGCAGTCCTCTGCGAGACTATCCGATGTCACCATCAGGCAGGGACTCGGGCAATTGGCTCCGGCCCGTCATTCAACACCGTTGCCGGGCTGGCAAGTTCATCCACATTTATTCTGTTGCCTGTTGCTGCCGCCCCGTTGTTTAGTGTCCTTCAGCCAGGTGGTAATGCGACATGGCAGAGTGTTCTTGAGCTCACACAGCGCTTTCAACCACATGGATCTAAGCGGATGTATCTTCCTTCCATTGCGTGGGGGGAGATGCTGCGAGCGATGCATCGTATGGGTGCATCCCTGGCGGAGGTGCAGGGTGTTGTTGACATCATCACGGATCCCAGTCGCACCAAAAACGCCGAGAAACACATGCGGGACACGCGTCTCTGGAACGCGTACATTTCGGTAAGTGACTGGCAACATGCGCTTGATGTGTACTCTAACAACTTGCCTCACTACGGTGTGAAGGAAACAGCGGCAACAAGCGCTGCATTGATGGAGACACTTCTGCGCGACGGGCGGTGGGGACAGGCGTTGGATGTCTTCCGCCGCTTGCAAAAGAAGGAAGGACAACTCATCATAGGTACCTCCAGCGTTTTCACAGCGGTTTTTCGTGCTCTTGAGCAACGGGGCGATTGGCACGCCGTGACCTCGCTTGTGATGGACTTTGATCACTTCCTTGTTCATTTTGGCGTCTCGCACGACCACTGGCTCGCCTCACCACTGAGGGAGGCGCTACAGAGGCCTCAACATCCTCGGGATGAGTCATGCATGACGTGGGTGGCGTGGGTGAGGGAATTGCCAGAGTGGAGTCATGTCACCCGCGAGCTGGCGCATGCGATGGAGGCTGCCCTTATTACATGCGACACGCGGAATTCGCGAGACGAGGAGCAGCGAGAGCAGCAGGTGGGGCAGGAGTCGACAGCCGGGATGGGGGCCATTCCTGACGACATCATGACCGCGGAGGGGCTTCACGACCTCATGTGAGAGAGAGGGTGTGTGTGTATGTGTATGTGTGGATGCCCTCCATTATTCACCGTCTGCTGCGTCATTTTTGTTGTGAAGGATGGGGAGTAAGTTCCCCTTTCTTTTGTTGTTTTTCTCCCTTTCTTTTGGCGGTTCCTTCTTCTGATGGACACTTGTTGGTAGCCATCATTTCTCCTCTTTCTCTTTCCACTTCTTATTTTCAGTCAGAGGAATTATTTCCCAGGAGAACATGACGGAGGTTACGAATGAGAATCTGCAGATTCTTCTAACGAAGCTGATGACGGATCGCTTTTGCTCCGGTGAGACAAGCGACCTTGACGCATGCATTCAAAACTACGTGCCGCAACAAACGGATAATAGTTGGGTTAACCAGAGCCTACAGCGCCGCGGCATAAAGAGGTGTCAGCCTTATCAAGACGTAGCAAGGCGGTGCCTGGAGGATGAAAAGAAACATGCGGCGGTTTTTAAGGCGGCGGCAAATGCACCCGTCTGTAAAGATGAGATGCGGGTGCTGAATCAATGCCGACGTGTACGAGGGCGCAATTGCGAGCAGGAGGCCCTTGAGATGTTGTACTGCGGCATGGTGTACCTCGTGCAGCGACAGAAGGAAAAACATTAGTCCGGAGCGATAGGAGGGGAGGGAGAGGGGCGGAGTGCGTTTCTCTTTCCTTCTCTCTTTCTCTTTTTTTTTTTTGACATTTTTACCCCTTTTTGTTTGAATGGCTCGATGGCCCGCTGCGTTGTCACGTTCATCGCACGGAGAAAAGACTCACCTCCGCACACATGCGTACAAGTCCCTCTGATGCACACACACACAAAAAAAAAAAAATAAAAGAAAAAAAAAAATAAAATGTACTTACGGACAGGGTGGGAGGCATTTGTGCATCTAACGCGTTTATGAGTTGCCGAGGTTTCTGTGTGTCATGTCAACATCTTCTTTTTGCCACTTCCTCACTCACCTACGGATTTGGTTATTTACAACCGCCTTTTTCTTCCTATATGGTTTTTTCACAGAGTACGGGGCGGGCATGGAGAAGTGTTAAAGAAAGAAAGCGAGAAAGAGAGGGGGAAAAAAAAGCAGGCACGCAAAAACAGTAACAACAAATAAACAAAACAAAACAGAAAAAAAAAAAAGAAAAAGAAAAAGAAGAATAAATAAACAAGAAATGAGGGGGATAATTGGCGGCGGCAGCTGGAATGAGGGTGGTTTATCTTCAATGACGGGAGGGGTGGCCGCGGTTTTCCAGACCACACAATTGGAGGGAAGCATGACCCCATTTTTTGTTGCAATTTGTTGTCTGCGTGCACAAGTCGTGGTGACGGTGGGTGAACCGCCCTCTTACTGTTTGACCCATCCCGTATATATTTGTTTTTGTTGTCTTGGGTGTTATTGGCGGCTGCTTTTACTTTTTTTTATGTATTTTTCTTCTTTGCACCCTTACAACCATTTTTGCATTTTTTTTCTTTTATTGCTTTTATGTGTTCATCTGCCAATGCCAAGAGAAGGCGGGCGACGGGGCTGTGGCTGTGGGTGATCTGTACGGGAAATGGCAGTTGTACCGACATTGATACCCCGCTCGATCCAGTCACCGCGTTATCCCATTCATGCAGTACTGCGGCGGTTTGACCTTCTAGAAGGGTCGCATAGCAGTGTGGTGCTGCATTGTATTGGTCCTCTGCCACCAAAATCGCTTCTTTACCCACCGTCTACGTCAGATGAACGCATGGAACTTGTCTTGTTTCCATGTCAACTGGGAGAGCCCACGCGGCCTATTGGATGGCCCCCGGCCACGTCACATGAATGTACCGTGATGGTGAATCAAACGTACGTGACGGATGAGTTCCCACGCTGTCCGACACGTAGTGCGAGCCATCGCACGCTTGCAGGGCTGCCACTTTCACCATACCTTCGGCTAAGAGAGGATGGCTGTATTGATACAGGGGCGCCGCTTAAACTTGTGGTCACAAGTAAAGCAAAGTGGGCAGCGACGTTCTTGTTGTCGTGGTGCGGGGTGAATGACATATGCACATTAGTGACGGGTGTTGTCGCAAGGCTGCAGCGTTCGGAGTCAACGTGCAGTTGGTCGAATTTGTCTTCTTCTTTTTCTTCCTTGTCATCTCCGGAAGATGATGGCAGTGAA